AAAAAAAAAAAAAAAAAAAAAGACTGATAAAAATGTAGGAAATAAACAAGAAGTAACAAAACAATAGCATTCTAATAGGCATATCTACTTACTATTTGGTATGAATATTACATACAGTTACAAGGCGTTGAACAAGCAAAGAATGGAACACCTACCTGTTGTATAATGTCAAACAGGTCATGAACAGCAAGAGGAATGACTCCAGGCTCAGAGCTTGATCCTCGCATTGTATGTGTTTTACCGCTACTCGTTTGGCCATAGGCAAAAACAGTTCCTAACAGCAACAGGGCCAACCAGTAAAGCATACAAGGATATGGAATTTATTCAAAAATAAGTTCAATAATAAAAGAGCATGAACCATACTTAATGAACATAAGTCAATTTAATGCTGAAACTCCTTTAAGCATTTAAATTTTAAATAACAGAAAATTAAGAAACAAATGACGGCAAGTTTTAGCATCGTACAAATAACCAAGATAACTGAATCTCCAACCCACCATTAAAACCGCCAACTGCAGCCTCAACGATATCCCTAGTCCGAGCTCTGTATACATCTTGAGTCCTACAGTCCTCCCCAAAAATCTGATCTACACTCAGAGAAGGAGAAGGAAAAAAAGAAAAGACACGAAACAGTGGAGCACGAAAAATCCAATAAACGCCGACGAAATTGAAGAAAAAAAAAAAAAAAAAAAAAGCATATCCTACTCCACACAGAAGAGAACGAGATTCAGCAAACAGAAAATCAAAATTACGTAATTCAAGCTTACCAAAATCGAATTTGGAAGATTGGTTGGGTATGAAAATTGTATTCCCGGAAATGCGCCAGGGACTAGCCTTCGCGTCGTCGGCGGAGAGAGGTCTCGCTCTCACGGAAACGTGTATCCTCTCCATTCAAATTCCTCACTCACAGTCTCCGGCTAGCTTGAGAGGGAAAAGCGAAGGAGGACGGGTCAAATTAGGGTTTTTGCTGTTTGGTGATTTTCCCGCCTCCCAAATTGAAATGAAACATCTGCATTTCCCTTTCCTTTTCTTTTTTTTCTTTTTTTTTTCAATATCCGGCTGAAGAGGGTTGTGGAAATGGGTCGGATCAGTTTTTCAAGGTCCATCTTCAAATGAACTTATTAGACCATCTCCAACCGAAAAACTCATTCTCAAACTCATTTTGCAGTAACTGTCACATCAAACAGTAATTCACCTCCAACCGAAAAACTCATTCTCAAACGCAAAAGAATATTCCAAGAATATTCTCATTTTACATCAACTTTTACAAATTTTCAATACCACCCATATATTTTACAACTTTACAAATTTTGAACATATTAATATTTTAAAATTGATTAAAAACCCAAAAAGAAAATTAATTATAAATTAATAATTCTTAAGCATAAAACTACATATATAAAAATATTTTTACATAGAGAAGACAAAGACTAATTTTGGTTTATAATATACTTATTTACGCTATTGTTTTAATTTTTATATCAATTGTTTTAAATTTCATTTTTTATAAGGTTATTTTATATAGATTTAGTAATAATATTTTCTTATAATATTTTTGTTAACTATATTATATATAGTGTCTGTATGAATATTTTTTACAATATTTGAGAAATACTCATTTACAAATATATATATATATATATATATATATATATATATATATGTGACATAAATTTCACCATATTGGATTAAATTAACTATCAAATATATATGATGACATAAATTTCACCATATTGGATTAAATTTACTATATAAAATATAGTAAATTTACTATATACATACATATATAAAATAAAAATTTTCATCATAATAACAATTTAACACAAACTTGAAAAATATATAAAATATAATTTTTACACATATATATTATATATATACTATCTATGTATTTTTTTAATTGCACATACATACAATTTTTACACCTATATATATATATATAGTTTTTTAATAGGGACATACATACATACTTTGAGAGATAGAGGGTTACATTGCAATTTTGTGAAATACAAACGCAAAATATGCGTCAAAACGCAAATTTGCGTTTATGGGAGGAGAGAGAAGGTCTATATCGCATTTTGGGAATGCGTTTGCAGTACCATTGGAGCAATTTTCACCTCATAATTTGAGTTTTGGAGTACGGTTGGAGTTGGTCTTAGGGATAGAATGTGTAGTAATCGAACTGAATGGGTCGAACTTGAGCATCTTGAGTTTTTGCTCGATTATGTTTGAACATTGTTCGTGTTACGTTCGAACTCGTTTGTTTAATTATTCGTCAAAGTTCGAGTTCGTCCGTATTGAAATAATTTATTAAATAAACTTTTTAGAATTATTTGATTAATTCATTTATTCGTTCAAACTCTTTTGAGTTATAAAAATAATAACAATAATAATTTTATATTTTGGATTTTTAAAAGTATCACACACATATATACATATCAATATAAAAGAAATAAAATTATGTCACGTTAATGTTCGCTAACCTTATCAAACATTCGCTCGTTGGACTATTACCCTTACTTTATACCCTATAAGTGCCAAATTATAAACATTTTACATAAAATTTGTTACTAGTAGACTTATATTCATATTTAAAAAAAAAAAAAAAATCACAGTCAGTTCTCTTGGTCCAAAGTCCAATCATCTTCTTCATCCAAATAAAGCCTTTAAATTAAAAAAGAAAAGCCTATTGCCAATTGAGTCAAGTCTCAGTTTGCTTTAGGACATATGCAACACTATATTCTCTAATAAAACATGCAGGAGAAAACCTTTGGAACATCACATAACCATAAAGTCCACAAACTATTAGTTTCTCTCTTTATTCTAACATCTACATAGGCATCTCTCTATCTCACCTCCATACAGCAGAAAAGAAAAACAATATATACATTGTGATCTGGAGATAGAAGCCTCCACAACAAACACAATTACCAAACGAACCATTTGTCACACCTCAACGCCTATTCTCTGAGCAACCTGACAATCAAAACCGAACAAAAAACATGGTCACCAGTTGAAATCAAGAATCTAAACAAACTTAGAAACTTTTAAGACCGTGGTTTGAAAGTTTGAAGTCGATTGACGGTAATAACAGAATCTGTTCAACAGCAAATTCAGAAAAGTGCCCAAGGAAGTTATTATGTTATTCTACTACAAACCAGCAAAAAACTCTATCCTTGAATAAGACTTAGATTCGTGACAAAGTACAAAACGAGGTATATATATATAAAGTGAGGTAACTGTATTTGGCTATTTGCAGTCTCCAACTATAGCTGGGTTTCTTTTCTAATAGATACTTCAAAGAATATTTGGTGGCAAGTAATAACGCTATAAAGTACAAATCCAGAGGAAAAATTATGGTGAATCCCAATTAATAATTTTAAATATGTTTATGATTTGGACACAACATACCTCTTTGAAAGAGTTTACATCACTACCCCAAAGCCAGGCATCACACCCGGCATCTCGAGCACCCCATATATCATTCCTTCTGTCATCCCCAACGTGCACCGCATCCTCAGGTTGTACTCCCAATAACTCGCAAGCTTTCAAGAATATCATGGGATTCGGTTTTTCAGCCTCAACCTGATTTTTCATAATATCAATCGCAATATTTACACACCAAAGTCAACAAAGATTGGATCACCATAAACTTGGAGCAATTAAATTAATTGGAAATTTGGGGATATGAGTGAGTCAATTTACTTCGGCAGACACTGCCACTGCATCAAACCAGTGATCGCATTTAAGTGCTCTCAACAGAGGTCTTAATCGAGTGTCGAAGTTGGACACGACTGCCACTTTTACACCTGCTTTTCTGAGGGCTTGGAAAACTTGCTCGGCCTCAGGATCACACAGGTGCCAAGCCTGGTCGAAATTAGCAAGAACACAAGATAAACCCGTCATGCTAAAAAAAGAAAAAGAATAAAAAACTACAGCAAATATTAATGCAAGGGGGGCTTTTGTAGTTCTCAACGACTATTTGGGTCCTACGGTAGTCAGGCCTAACCTTAAATGTTATCTTTGTAAAGACCATCTTATATGCATAAAATTATACTAAAAGTGCCCTGCTCTTGATGGCATTAAATAACTCATAATATACAGATGAAAAACCTCTAGCCAGACAACCTTTTCAGTGGTATAATAGTTATAAAGCTCCTCAAAATACTCAGAGTCCGAACAGCCGGTTGATGAACTGACGATATACTGCCAAAATGGTCTCCCGTCGTTCACATATCTGCAAATTACCAATAACGTATATAATTAAAAGTGCTTCTACTAGAGCAAGAACTTTTGAAGTTAACCATTACGAAACTTTTGGACCATGAAATCAGGTACATAAAAATAAGAAGATATACAGCTATGCAGCAATCTAACTTCAACCTTTAAATTTATAGAAAATTAAAGACGCCATGCAATAATTAATAAACATGAAGCCTTAAGTAGAAGTATGATGTCCCACTAATACATTTAACATTTTATATGTAAAGAAAGGCAAGAATATCACCTGAGGCTGGATCTGCCCCAAGGCTGCTCATATGCCCATCTGTATCTGCTCAATATCTCATTTTCCGAGTACTGGACTCCATACTTTTCACCAATCTGTCGATAAATCTACATAGAAAACAACAATTTAGGTAAATTCTGCCTGCCTTGGAGATCAATATAAACCAATATTTCTGCACCAATGGAGACACAAATCTGTACTTATATGGAAACAACATGGTGACAGGTGAAAATGAAAGCAAGCGAAAAAAGATATCACCAGATACTGAGAACTCAATGTTACAGGCTATATCAGGTTTAGTTCAGAACCTTGTTTGGATTTTGTTATTAAACAATATGAATAAATTACATGATCAACACAAAATTTACCAAAAGAAAAGCACAAGGATGGCATGCCAACACCTTTGCTTTCCCATTACAGAACGAAATGTATTCCAATGGTCAACAACAAATAATGAAAGTGAAATCAAATAAGGAAGCAAGCACTAAACAAAAACTTGAAACAAAGCCTTCGAATTCGAAGGGAAACTTAGACGTAATACCAGAACATAAAACCCATGAATGGGGTACACAAAAGAAAAAGAAGGGACAAATAAGAGTAATCCACAAAAGACTTTTTCCAAGCTGTGGGCTGATCTACAGAAGCTAAAAGACTGATCTAGCAGAAATCAACAGTTTAGAATACTGTGTGGAAGCAGAAAAACTGTAGAAAACTCTTCAATTCACAACCCTAAATGTTAAATTTCTTCAATTATCAAATACATGCATAGCCATCACTAACACAGCAAAAGTGGATTTGCAATCACCACAAGCATTTTAACAAGAAACTTCAGTGGATAGGCCATAAAATGATTCCACAAGCACAAACACCACAATAAATAACCAAATAAACAGATAAATTGAAACGCTGACAATCACCACAAAATCCAAACTCTCACCGCCAGCAAAATCACTTGAATGGGAAGAAAAAGGTTAAAAAAAACAGAAGAAAAGATAAATACCTGTGCCATGGGCTGGGAAGGGACAACGAGGGTACCAACTGCATCAACAAGCAATGCCTTGTGCGTGATCCCACCATACAAATTCTTCCGGTAATCCACGTACTCCTTTACCATATCCAAAATCCTCGAACCACCCAGCACCTCCGCCCCCGGCGTCGGCGGCGCAGATGGAGGCGGCGAGGCAGCAACAGCGGCGGAGCTCGAGAAGGCACGGGATCCGCCCACACTGGGAAGGGCGAAACGACCCCGTTTCGAGGATGCGAAGAGTTTGCTGATCTTGGTTCTAGATGAAGAAGCCATCTCCCTCGCTATTCTCTTACATTAGAATTCTGAAACTGGTTTTTTCACTTTTTTTTTTTTTCTGTACTCAGATTTACATAAATTGAGGAGTGTAGAGAGAGCTCTGTAGAGTGGGATTTGTATGCAGGGGATGGAGGAGATGAAATGAGGGAAAGAGGCAGGGAAATTACTGAACTGCCCTCGAAATTAAGAGAGATTTTGTTGTCCCGTTACGGAACCATTTCGTCGGAGTTTTTAATAGTTAGATCAGTTATCCATGACGGTTATATAATGATCCAACGATTACAAATCCCGACGGAATATTAGTTCCGTAATTAAAACCGCTAATTATAGAATACAAAAATGAACATCATTTTAATTTTGTTATCTATGGAAGAAAGATTATAGGCTACAAAAAAGTTAAGAGGCCATGAATTATTTGACTAGACATGATTTTACTTTTAAATTGTGTATTAGTTTTCACTTTGTTGTTTTTAGATTTGTTAGTTTTATTCTTGTATTTCCAATGTTTGTTCTTTTTTATTGTTTGCATGATTATTTCATTAATGGGTTGTAAATGAGTTGAGTCAATCACAAGATTGTGCTCTTAAGACTCGTTAGCTAACGAGTTGGTAATGGAACTTGAATTTAACTTATTTATTAATATTAACAAACTAAACTCGAACTTAAACGAGTTTAACTATAAAAAAATTCTTCTTAAACATTACTAAATTGAGTAAAGCACGATTAGTTAGCTAAATGAGGTCGAGTTCTTTTCGTTTAAATAAATAAATAAATAATCAAGTCAAATTCATGAGCGTCTCGTTTCACTTACCGGTTTATACATTGTTTATGTTTTAGTATTTTTTTTCCTATTTAACCAACTGTCGGGTTGATGATGTTTTTTTTTTTTTTTTT